CTGCCTAATGACTGATGAAAAGAGCCAAGCCTGTCAGTAAGGCCCTGCAGATCTCGGGTTAAATCTCCATCACCCGGTAAATCAGCCCGTGCTTCAGGTACTGGGAACTCCTTTCCAGTCCCCGAAGCTGCCCCCCACTTTCCTCTGTCACCAGGGGTCTTTGGTCCAACTGCTCCCTGTCCACACATGCTTGTGCTCCACTCCCTCTTGTACAGACACGCACTCCTTCCGGCCCAGGGCCCTTCCACGGCAGATTCCCCTGCAGAATGTTCTCTGAAACCCCCACCTGCCACAGGCCAAACCCCAGAACGTCAGCTTCCAGAATGCCTGCCTTCCTCAACTTTTTACCCCCACCAGACTAGAACCTTGAGGGAAGCTTCCAGCTTGTAGTTAATCGATACATCAAATGAAAATGTTTGATTGTGAAGCCAAGAGCCGTCTTATATAAAACACTTGTCTAACTAGTGTCCTATACAACTGTGTCCCCACTGGTGCCCTTCATGGTGCCATGCACTTAGTAGGGACACCAAGATATTTTTAAATGAAGAAGATATTTTCTCCCTCATATCTGTAGGAATATGGTGGCGACAGTCTCCACCTACACATTCATTTCGAACCATGAGAGACTCTTGAATGCTGACAAAAACTGAGGACTGATGGATGTGGGGGGGAGGGGGGATGGGCATGGAGGAGGACACTTATGGGGATGAGCACTGAGTGTTATGTGGAAACTAATTTGACAATAAACTATTTGTAAAAAAAAAAAAAAATTTAAATGCAGGTGTCCCGTGTTTATAACATGATAAAGATGTCTGTTTCCATCAGGGAACAAAGTCTGTCTTTTCAGGTTTATTCCATCTTTACTCGAGAAACAAATGCATGCCTTGTGCAGCGGATCAAGGTAGGGACTGTATTCGCCAGTGTACCAGACACACCACTGCGTAAGGGAAAAGGAATTTCTCCTGGAGCTGATAATTTCCGACACGTTCAGTAACATTTGTCTCTTGGGCTTCTGAATGAGACCATGAATGTGAAGATATCTGAAATCCATGAAACCGGAAAGTAAGGGGGAAACTATATTGCTACCTGTATGTATTAGTTTATTTTCCATGCTGATGTTTCATGATTGTTTTTTAGTTCAGAAAATGGAGTCATTGGGATTCTGAAAAGTACTGCCGAGCTATAAATCCATGGAGACAGAAAGCAGATTGGTGCTTGCCAGGAATGGGGGAGGGGGAAACAGGGAGCAATTGCTTGACGGGTCAGGGTTTCCTTTTGGGCTGATGAATGTTTTGGAACTAGACAGGAATCCGTGTTGCACAACACGCTGAAGGTACTACATCCCGCTGAATTGCTGACTCTAAAAAGGGTTACTTTTAGGGGCGCCTGAGGGGCTCCATTGGTTAAGCGTCTGACTTCAGCTCAGGTCATGATCTCGTGGTTTGTGAGTTCAAGCCCTGTGTCGGGCTGTGTGCTGACAGCTGAGAGCCTGGAGCCCACTTCGGATTCTGTCTCCCTCTCTCTGCCCCTCCCCCACTCACGCTTTCTCTCTCTCTCTCTCTCTCTCTCAAAAAAATAAATAAACATTAAAAAAATGAAAATAAAATAAAAGGGTTACTTTTAGGTTATGTGGACTTCACCTTAATAAAAAAAAGTCACATATCACTTACAAAATACTGAATACTTTTCTGAATGTCCTATGAGAGAAGGCAGTGGTATATTCTAGAACAGCCCCAGATCAAAGGCCCCACAGCACCCTGTACCTCACCTTCGGCTAAGGAATGGGGTCCCCCCGTGTACAAGCAGGGCCACGTCCTCAGAGACACGCTGCAGAGCACCAGAACGAACACCACTACAAACCAGGCCAAACGCTGCTTTGTATTCTCATCTGTTTCTCCTTTGGCTGACGCTAGGGCTTGTTAAGCTGTTTAGTTTGATTAAGGATTTTTCTAGCCCCAGAGGTGGAGCCCAAAGCAGGTTTTAGTTTTTCCTTTAAATGAGTGGAATTTTCCAGTGACAACAACCCTACAGACTGTGGATCGGGCCCGGACACTTTGCTGGGCCATCTGTCCCCCCAGCGCCCCAGTGGAGAGGAAGGGGGAGGAGCCTGTCCACAGGGCAGAGTCGTGGGCTAACAGTTTGTCTCTACTTGCGGCAGGTTCTGCAAAGGCCAGGGCTGACCGTAAAAGGGGTGGGTGGACTTGTCCTAACAGCTCACAGTTTCTCAGGAAACAGTCCTTTCATTGTCTTGTCCAAGGAGGAACCCTCTGCTGGAGTGTAAGAGCGGCATCGCAGATCAGGAGTGAGGCAGACCCAGAGGGGAGGCCATCAGCCTTCCTCCTTGCTGGTGCCCTGGGCCAGCAAGGGCTGAGATGTCCATGCACAAATATCCCATCCATCCTTTAAACACATGGGGCCCAAAGGGAAAGCCATTTAACCATTTAATGGAAAGGTGTTTCCATTTCAAACATGGTGCTTGAGCCCAGCGCCCAGTGGCTGAACTGTAATCAGGTTGCATCGGTCAACTTTATGTTGACCAAGGTCTATGGGTTTTAACCACTTAGGTTTCCTCCAGATTTTAGCACTTTGTACCTTGTCACATGCCTTCACATATGTGGTGTCATTCAGTAGCCCAAGAGACAAATGCTGCCCAACATCTTGGAAAATACTGGCCCCGGAAGAATTCCTTCTCTGTCACGTAGTGGCAATGCTGTGAACAAAGAAAGCCTGGTGACAAAGTTCTGTGCACCTGGGGAGCTCTAATTCCAGCAAAAGAGGGGAGTCCCAGGAACCTTTTACCAAGATATCTTTGCCAAGGCCAAGGATTCTACCTAATCCTTGAAACTCCAAGTTTGTTGGAGAGGTCATCAATACAGTGTACCATAACCCAGTCCACTCCGACGGGTTTGGAACAGGATAGCCTAGACTTAGCAGTGACCGAAAAATTCCCCGAGAGAGGTAGGTCTAGGGACCCAATGTGGCAGCCCCTTATTGCTTTTAACAAACAAACAAACAAACCCCAAAAAAGACTGAAGTTCTGTTTGGATGCTTTTAAGGCATTTATAGGCACCCAAAGAGGCAGGACTGCTTATGACTCCATCTCCTAAGTGCCTGGCAATCATCGACCTCTCTAATTGCCATGTGGGCGAAGAGGTGGAAATTTAAATGAAGTCGATTTCGAAGTGTTAACGAAGGATGAAAGGTGTTACGGAAGTGCCTGGGCATGAGAGTCACGCTTAGACACATGCGCACAGGCTTCTCTCTGGGTGGCAGAGTCCCCAAAGCCTACACAAGCCCGTGCGAACACTCCCAGCATCTGACACTTACACCGCGAAGGGACACATTCGCTGTTCAGGAAGACAGAGACCCTGTTTTCTGTGGTGTCTGCGGGGGCAGAGGAGGTCCCTGGGAGGCCCTGTCCCCTAATGCCGCAGGCCCTCTCAAAAGGGAAAGGAGGAGCCTCCCTAATCCTCATGGGGGTGCTCTTAGAGTACTATCATGACCCTCCCCCTTTACAGACACGGAGACTACGGCTCAGAGAGGTTAAATAGCTTTCTCCAGAACTCCACTGCCGCTGGGTAGGGAAGGCAGGTCCTTCTAACTCACAGTCCAGTGCTCTCGGGTCCTCCAGAGAAGGGAACCTGCATGCGGAGCTGGTCCGAAGCAGACTTGCAGCACCCGGTGTAATTTCAGGGGCTAATTCTCGGCCAGCTGCCGACCCCCAGGAGCACTAACTAATGACAGCTTGGCCTCCCTACCACTTACGCTGCAAGGAACCAGCAGCCCGAACAGCTGTTGCCCATTTACCCCGGGGTTTCCCGGTCTACAGGGCAATGGGGTCTGGGCTGACGCTTCTCAGTTTCACACCTAACAACCTGTGTCCTTTCAGAAAGAAAATCTGGAGATGTGATCATCCACTGAGGTACACACCTCAGTTGTTTTCAGAGGCCTTTCCCATGCGTGATCTCATTCGACCACCTGGACAATCTTAGCGACACGTTTAATTGGTTCTTTGAAGATTCATCGGTTTCCAGGGCCAACCCCTCCAAACACAATACCTCCAGGAAGGGACAGCACCTTGAACTTTTATTGGCTCACGCCTTGGCAGCAGTTGGCAGCTAGCTGAGAATCAGGCCCTGAGAAGGGGGAGCTGGGTTGGGAGGAGTTGAGGGAGGGTCAGGAGGGGAAGCAGGAGAAGGGAGGTGGGGCACAGGCCCACCTCACCGTTTTGCAGAGAGAGGCTCTAGGAGAGCCATTGCCCCACTGTGCCCACCCACCAGAGATCAACTCTACCCCCAAGGCCAAAGGTAGAAACGTCTAGAAGAAAAGGAGAAGGGACAGGAGAGATGGGAAGAAAAGAGTGAATAAACCAACCATCAGAGGCTCTTCAATCTTAATTCATTTTATTCTACAAAAACTACTCAATTGAAAGTGGAAAAGCTAACCAAAAAAAAAAAAAAAAAAGGTTTTAATATGTTCTTTCTTCCATAGCAGCAAGCTTTTTCTAACAAGCTTTCTTTAGTGCAAATACTGTAGGCTTGTATTACAGTAAAGTAACAAAACAACAACAGAAAACACCACCAGAGATGCTTCAGAGCAGAACTACTCCTCAATTTTCAAAACTATACAAGGATTTTTGAGCTCCAGTCCTGCCGGGAAAGGCCTATTTAGAAGCCTTTCCGAAGGGACCATTTCACCAATACTTAAGGGAAAAAAAAAAAGGAAAGAAAAAGAAAAAAGAAAGATGCTCAGAAAGGTACTGAAATTCTCCATAGAGCTATAGGAATCGTGTACAACGTGTTTGCCTCCACATTCTTCTAGCAGACTTTACTCCACACCATCGACAGATCTCAAATACAGATGCACGAAATTTATGATTTCCCACTATATACCAAAATACGATATGTACATCTCTCACTGCAGAAAAGACACCCTGACACCTATTCTTTATACAAAGGCGAATATTTTCTTCCTCGATATCAAGTAACCACAAACTAAAAGAAATGGAATAAACTTTTAATCATACAGAGAAAAAAAATTTTAAGGAACAGGGCAGGATCTTCCGTCATATTCTCTTACAATGTAGACTTCCTGGTGACCGCTGTCCCCAGAGGAATGACCATCCGTCTTTAAGAACAGAACCTTTTTATACAGTTTATACAGCACATGTCACAAGTCATTTTAGAAACGAAAAAGCATCATTAGCCTAAATTTTTTTAAAAACTGAAGAAAGAGAGGGAGAGAGGAGCTGAGTATTTTAATGCTGTTTCTATTCAGGCTTGGTACAACACAGAGATGTAAACATTTTAAATAAATAATAAAATAAATGTCAATTTCTTCTCCCCCTCCCCTTCCCATACCCCGCTCAAAATTTGACCCAGCCTTTCCTGACACATCAGCACTGGCCAATGAAAGCCCTCTGTTAATGTATGGCCAAAACACTAGAAGCATGAGATGTCAAATTAGTGGGATGATTGAGTTTCCTTTTTAAAAGCTGCAGGAGGCACACTTGGAAATGTAGGCACACACGCACGCGCGCACACACACACACACATACACACACACCCAACCTGTCAATAAATAGTGAGATGCTGGCTTTAAAGATAAATGTCGAGAAGACTCAACAAGCAGAAAGTAGCAAGACCCCTTTACTTAAGTTTTTAAAGGAAATTACACACATCACATATCCTATTGGTCCACAAATTCTAGAAGGACTCTAGTTACCCCTCCAACCATCTGAGGAGTGCAAAGGAGCACATCACAAAAGAGAGGGAAGAGAAGTTTGGAGGTGGGAGGGTACCGTGGGGGATGGGTCTTTGAGAACAAACCTCCGACTGAAGGCAACCTTGCCTCAACTCTTTGAAGACGGACCTTTGAAGAAGTGTTTTTGTTTATCCATTACTTGAGGGCCTTTAATAGGGGATACCCTCACCCCTCAGTCTCATCCTAAAGAGGGTATATTTATAAAAGTGCCTAACACAGTGCCTGGCACGTAGTAGGTGCTTATTCATTTCCTTCTTCAAGGGGCTGTGTGATCTCTGATCCCGAAAGGAGATCAATCTGAAAGGTAAACGGTGAGATCGCAGGAACATCTGTTGGTCCATCAAGGAAAAGGGAGAAAAATTCCAATGCCTATGGCGTCGAGCCCTCCCTTAGACTTTGAGCCAAGTGGGAGCAGGGAAGAGGCTCTTGTTGCTCTCGTCCCCAAAGCCTGAGGAAAGGAAGCCACAGCCTCTGATGGCTCCTGGCTGAGATGCTTGTGTGACTGGCCAGTGGACCCACCTGTCCTTTCTCACAGGCAGAACAATGATGTCTTTCTGCAAACTTCCCCACGAAAGCTCTGCGTGCAGCTGCCCCGGCTATTTCCTAAGCTTCACCTGGGATCTCCTCTCTTTCCTGGGTCAGCAGCTGTGCCCCTCCACTCAGCCAGGAAGGGGACGGATCCCCGCGAGGCCAGCCAGGTGGCCATGAGGACTGTGTGTTTCACACTAGCCTGTCAAGGCGCGCCTGCCCTAGGCCGTTCCAGAGCTGCCTGGCGGCTGGGGCCACAGAGGAGGCCCTGCAGTTCCCGCCTAAGCACCAAGGCGCCCCCGCTGCCGCTGTTCCTTTAGTGGGAGCCGTGGGAGGAGAAAGCAGGCCTGGCATCCGGCGATTCTGGAACAATGGTGTGTGTGCAGGAACTTCGAGAACAAGCCAGAAGACATAACTGAGGATCTGTTCGTGAGTTAGGTGTGAATGGTCAGCCTCTGGCTTTGGGGAGGCCAAATCCCCTCCAAGGTCCTGAGCGGGAATGCGGCTTAGAGGCCTCTAAAGCCCTGCGAGCTGGGGGAGTTTTTGCCTTCTGCTGGTCCCAAAGCCAACACAGCTTGAAATGGGCACTAGAGCCAAACTCTCTCCCGGGAACGTCCAGGCTGGCCCCAAGTCACAGACGACGGCCTGCCTCAGGATCAGCGCCGGGCAAAGTGAAGCACAAAGGGACTTTCAGAAACAAAACACCAAAAAGCAGCTTCATTTAAGAAATATATATATGCAAAAAGAAGCAAAGAGCTCCCAATCGGCCACAAATACCACTTGAGATGATCAAGCCCTTGAGAGCAGAGCGCACCCGTTTTATTTGCCCACCTCCTGCTGCTTCTGGCTGACTTCTGTTTCTCTGATTAATCCGAAGCCAGAAACTCAACTGCCCAATCTAATGCCCCCCTGTCCCAGAGCCTCTGGGACACCAGGAGGGCAGCATCATAGCCTAGGAATTTTTAAGGTTTTTTTTTTGGTGGGGGGAAATCCTTTTGATATCCACTCTCTGCATGGCTTATCCGTTCCCACTTCACTCTTGGTCAGAGTGGGCCACGTACTTTAAGCATTTGGCTGCTCCATTCTGTGTGTTCATTCTAGAATGCGGAGGTGGGTCACGGGCATTAAGCGAGGACCCGCCCTAGAGGCCTGGGTGTATGAAGGAACAAGTGAACTAACGTGTCACAGCTCTCTCTCTCTCTCCCCCGAGTCTAACTTTGAAATTTAACCCCCATTGGGTTTGATTTAAATAATATCTATATAATTTTAAATTATCATACAATGATCTCTAGAGCTGAATCACAACAAAGCACTAGCCCAGCAGAGGCCGATTCTAGATCAGCCAGAACTTTGCCTTAGGGAGGAAAAGGCTCAGAGGGGTGGGAGGCAGGGCCGGCGCTGAGCTGTGCTCTTGCAAGAGGCCGGGAGGAACCCCCTCCCCGATCCCACCCCCCCCCTGCAGTGGGAAGCAATGCATCTTATCTCTGATTTCAGCAGCCCCCAGGAATGGCACGGAAGCCCAAGCCTCAGCAACAGCTCTGGGTCAGCGGTTCACAGCTGGACCTGAGGAGCACAGTGTGGACAGGGTGTGGAAGAGAAAAAGCGCTCCATCAGGCAGCAGATGACCACAGAGGGCAGAAAAGGCCTGGCATCTCACTGAGAGGCGAGTCCCACTTTGCCTCCCTCCTTCCTCCCCTACCTTTCTATTCACAGCAAAGGTGCCTTTGAGGCTTGGGGAGGGGCCCACCCAGCAGCAACTGGGGAGGGGCGAGGCCCACGCTCATTAAATTTCGGTGGGTGGCGTCACCCCAAGAGCCAGGCCGGCGACGGCAGAGCCAATAGAGACTTGGGAGTGATGTGCGGTTCCTAGGGAGGGACACCTCCCTGGTGTAGCGAGAAGGGTCCAGGGACAGGATGGTGAGGCAGTAATCGTAGGAGACATCCTGCTCAAGACACTAGGTCAAGGCAAGCTGGCTAGGACACACCTGTGTGATTGTTGGCACTATTCCTGGCCCAGTAAGTAGGCATTTGGCAAACCCAGCCTGTGCCCCGGCTGTCGCACTCACACCCTGTCTTCTGGACAAGCTGCTCCTCCAAAAGTTGTCTCCGAGGACGGGGAGGATGGGTCCTCCAGGCTCCCAGTGATGGCAGCATCTCCTTGCAAGCTCAGGGAGCTCTGCTGGTGGTTCTGGAGATGGTGGTGGGCCGGGGAGTGTCAAGGGGGGGAAGGGTCTGTATTGCACATTGACTGTCCCCTTCTGGACCAGTCAGCCCCAGCAGAAGAGTCAGTCACCTGCCGCCCCGTCTCCAGAAATGAAGAGCTTTAATATTCAGACCACCCAGATGAAATGTCATGGCAACTTTGATAAAAACCAAGAGGAAGTGAAATTGACACTGGGGGGAGGAAGGGGCGAATAAAGGGAAGGTGAAACCAAAAGGCACTGAGCATGCTTGGTGGGGCGGGGAAGGACACCATCACTCCAGAGACAGATCGTGACAAAGGGACAGGAACGGTCCACACCAGCTTCAGGCTTTTCAGAAGCCAGAGAGATGCCTGAGTCCCCCACACCAAGTTCTCCAAGGCTCTTCAAGACACAGGATTTGCTTTGCAAGATGAATGAGGGAGGAGGTCCCGTTGAGTTCTAGGAGATCCCCTACGTCCTCACCACCTCACCGCCAAATCCCACCTGGGTCTCCCCGGAGCCAGGAAGCTCTCAGGTAGGGTCCCCCTCTTGCCCTCATGGCCCTGGAGCGCTTGAAGGTGCTGGTCCCTGGGAAGGAGGCAGTGACGAGGAACCCCTGGGAGCTGGGTTACAGAGCCAGCAGAGTAGGGGAGTTCAAGGAGTCTGATGACTGGTCCCCACTGCTACTGCTTCTGCGGTGAGCCTTGGAGCAGGACTCGGAGGGTGACGCAGGCGACTCCTGCTCCAGGACGCTGGGGTAGGTGAAGACGAGGTTCGAGGTGCCCGGAGTGATAGCAGGCGTGGAGGTCACCACGATGGGGGTGTGCAGGGGCTCCTCCCCGTAGAAGCCCCCAGCGATGCTGATGGGCTTGATGACAGAGCGCTGGGCCTTGTCCAGCCCAGCCGAGGAGGATGACGGGCTCTCCTCTTCCAGGGGCTCCTGTTTCACCACGACGGCACCCACTCCGCCACCTCCACCGCGCAGGGGCTGGAGCCCGGAGGCTGGGGGTGATCGGCGCTCCTCGGGGCTGATCTTGCACACGGGCCCATGGGCCACTAACATGAACTCCAGCTTTTCCTTCTCCTTCTGCAGCTCGGCGATCTCCTTCTGCAGACCTGACTTCTCCTCCTCCAGCTCCTCTGTCTCCTGCAGGGTGAAGAGAGGTGTGTGAGAGACAGGAGCCTGCCAGGGAGGCCTGCTTGGGTTGGGGTGGGGGTTCCAATCCAGGTGAGAAAGGGAAAACCAGAGCTGTCCTCAGAGGACCAACTGTGAAAGCAGCCCGTTCACACCCCCGGCCACAGACCCCACTGGCTCTGAGTCACCTGGAGGCTCAAGATTCCTTTTATGTCCAGGGGGGCCTGGGTGGCTCAGTCGGTTAAGCGTCGACTTCGGCTTAGGTCACCATCTCACAGTCAGTGAGCTCGAGTCTTGAGTCAGGCTCTGTGCTGACAGCTCAGAGCCTGGAGCCTGCTTCAGACTCTGTGTCTCCCTCCCTCTCTGGTCCTCTCCCACTCATACTGTCTCTCTCTCTCTCAAAAATAAATACACATTTTAAAAAAGTTTTTTTTTTTTTTTTTTTTTTAAAGATTCCTTTTATATCCAAAGCTCCTGAGACAGGAGGAGAGTCGGCTTGGGGGAAGGCTGGAGTGACAGTTGTAGGCACCATGACTAAGGGCTTACTTTGTGCCAGGCATTGCAGATCAAACCTCCAGGAGACTTCTGAAGCAGGCATTGTCAATCAACTCACTTTGCAGATAAGGAAACTGAGATTCAGAGAGGTTTTGTCATTTGCCCAGCATCACAGAGCAAGCAGGTAAGGTAGCCCAGACTTGACCCCAACATATCTGACTCCAGAGGCCACATGCTACCATGCTTTATTGCCTCAATGCCAGGACTCCCCCAAGGTACCCATGAGGGGGGACTGGTGAGGTCTGGAGGGGAAGGGAGGGCAGCACGCGTTCCCTGCACCCCCATCCTTCCCTGCACCCTCCAGCCCTGTCCAGCCTGCCTGTGGATGCATCACCACTAAGCTCTAAGCTGCACACACAAGCTGAGGACAGTGCCAGCCTGGCAGGAAGTTCTCCATCAGTCCCCGCTCAATCGTCACTGCCCCACTTCCCTTTTTTGCTCTAATTTCTGAAGCATGTGATTCAGGACTCACAGAACCCTTGGAGACTATTCCATTCAGTCCCTGTGCGTTAACAGATGAGGAACCTGCCAGCCTGAGCAGGCATGGAAGATGGTGGGGTCCCATGGCAAGGAGCTCAGCCCCCTCCCTTTGACACAAACCCAGAGAAGCAGCAAAGCACATGGAAGGAGCAGGTGTGAAAGATGAAAAGGTGTGTGTCATGGCCTCCTCCCCGCTTTTCCCCTAACACAGATTCCCATTCAAGAATGAGACAATATGGGCCAGGGCTTCACTGAGCAGACTACAGCATATTCCACAGTGAAAAAAAGTTTCCATCTGTCTCAAGGGTCTGACGAACGTCATGAGCTTATGAGAGGTTTCCTGTGGAGGATGTGGCTCAGGGGCCTGGGTGGCTGGGGTGGGTGGGGCGGCGGGGGAGTAGGGTGTGAGGGCTTCTGGGGGAGGGAGGGGAGGAAAGCAGGCGGCCTGGAGGAGGAGGAGGAGGAGGGGCTACTCTGGGGCTAGTGGTAGGGAGCACCCAGGGCAGACTCAGAGGACCTGACCCCTTAGAAGGTTAGTGGTAGGGAGGACTCTCCTGGAGGAGTCTACCCAGGGAGCACGATCACCAAGGGATCTCTTCACCTAGTGACGGGGAACTCCCGCTCTTCCTCCCAATGCACACACACTCCTCCACGGTACATCACTACAGGCTACACGGAATTCACACAGTACACGTTCAATTCTCAAGAGCTCTCACTCTTGGACACTGTGGCCCTGAAGCAGGTGGATGGTACCTGGGAGCATTCAAGAAAGTCACCGGATGTGCAAGGTAATTTGTGACTTCCAGAGCCTGTCCCTGGCTGGTCATCAGAGTCTCTCTCCAACATTCCACTCAGGAGAGTGAGTCCTGGCTTTGGGCTTCCTCCACACACCATCCAGCTCATCCTGCAGGGCTAGGCTCTGGGGGGAGTTATGTGACGTTGGTCAGCTCTGCTTTTTGAGAGGGCAGGGCAGGGCCACAGCCCCCAGGTGTGGGCAATTAGGCAGCAGGGGAGAGTGACTCACAAGGGCAGAATGAGGTATCAAGGTGACAGCTTCAGGCTCATAGCAGAGGTTAGGAATCCTCCTGCCCATGAAGGATACGAGGAAACCCCAAGATAGCACAACTCGGCCGGCACATGACCATCTCTGTGAGACTCAGAGAGTTTCGAGACCCCCGCAGACTGGAGTCTCCCCCTGCCTGCACCAGGTGGCTTGGATCACTCCTGCTGGTGGTAGGCATGGGGGCGGCTGGAAGCTTGAGAAGTAGCCCCAGAGAGGGCAGGTCTGGGCTTGCGCTGGCTCTTGGGGCCTAGCAATGCCAACACTCTGTGCCATCCCTCACCCAGGGGCCCCAGAAGGCTTGAGAGCAGGGAACGCACAGTGTTAGGCCCCCGCAGGCTGTTGAACTCCGTCTCCCGGCCCAGGCTGGTGTCAAAGGCCAGCTCTCTCCCCCAATCTCTCTACTTTGATCAGGGCAATGCCAAACCTATGTGCTCAAAGGAAGGCATGCTTCTGTCTACACTGACTCATCTCTACGGGCCACTGGTGGGCAAGGAGAGGGTGGGAGGCCAGGAGGCCTGGGCCCCTGGTGCGTGCCCACCCAGAAGGGCACCCGGCCCCTACAGGGCTCCTTACCGCCTGCAGCTTCTCCGTCAGCTCCCGGCGTCGGTTTCTGCACTTGGCTGCGGCCAGCTTGTTCCTCTCCCTTCTGATTCGACGTTTCTCCTCCTCTTCCGGGGACAGCTAGAGCCCAAGGTCAAGGATCATGATTAGGTTTGGGCAAATGGCTCCCCAGCTTTGTTTCCTAACTGCGTTTTAAGAAGCTCTTCTGGGACGGGTGTGGGGGGAGGGAGAAAGGTGAGAGGAGTGTGGTTGGGCTCTGCGATCCCAGAATACGCGCCTGGGAGGGCACTTGGAACTGAGCCCCCTGGAAGGGGACGTCCCAGGTTCGAGGGGAGAACAGGGCAGCAACGTGTCAGGGACTCATCAGCCCAGGCAAGATGGTAGCATTTTTCATGTCAGCCCTGATCCAGTGCCAAGGCCATAGAGAAGCTGGGGTTGCTCCTCCGAGTCCCTTCATACCGGCCAGGCCTGGCCCCATCCACTTAAACAGCTTCTCCCAAACCTTGGCTAATTACTCCTCCCCACCACTCTGCCTGCTCTGCAGGCCTCATTATCCCCATTTGGTTAAGTAGCCTGGCCCAGAGCAAGAACCACCTGGGGGGGGGGGGGTGGTTCTATTGCCAGAGGGTGGGCCACGGTACCACCCAGCTCCCAACTTCCTCCACCAGCTCCAGCGTGCCAGCTGCTCACAGTTCACCCTGGAGGGCTCACAAGTGTGCCTGGCCGAATGCTAGCCTGGACAGGACAGGCAAAAAGGAGAAGGGACCCTCCTGCTGCCCACCACACACATTCATTCAACAAATGAGAACCTCCTATGTGCCAGGCATGGTTTGAGAGGTTCGAGATTTATCAGAGAACCAAATGAACAAAAATCCCTCTGCAGAGCGTATAGTCTAGCTTCTTACAAGGAGGCTGGTTGGGGGCCTATGGCTCACCCCCCCCCCCATCCTCCCCTCTCCTGGGCAAGAACTCTGCTCCACGACATGGGGCTGAGGCTCTGTTTACACACAGCCCTTCCTGTGACCCCAGTGCCCCTCGGCGCAAGCAGAGGCAACAGGAGGAGATGGCTGTGGGCCAAGGCAGAAAGTAATTCCAAAAGAAAGCCCATTCCGTGCAGTTCTCAGACATCAATGGCACACCTACTACGTGCCAAGCTCAGTACCGAAGGCTTAGAAGATTCTTAGAGGAATAAGATCTGGGTCCTACCCTAAGGGACAACATGGGAAAAAAGCTGAAGCCACTTTGGGGGTGGGGTAAGAGAAACGGCTCCCACTGAGAGAGGGAGAGTCATGGGCCAGGTTGGGCCCTGGTCAGAGTCCCCAGGGCTCCCCACAGCCTGGGTGGCTCAATCGGTTAAGCATCTGACTCTTGGTTTTAGCTTAGGACATGATCTCACAGTTCGTGACTTGGAGCCCTGCGTCAGGCTCTGCGCAGTCAGTGTGGAGGCTGCTAGGGATTCTCTTGCTCACCCTCTCTGTCCCTCCCTCACTCACGATCTCTTTCTAAATAAATTAAAAAAAACTTAAAAAAACCACACAAAACACCGATACGACATTTCTGTGTTGCCGCGAACAAATCACTGAACCCTCTGGGCCTCAGATTTCCCATTTAGAAAATGGGAACATTGGGACCTGCCCTGCCTTCCCAGAAGTTTCTGTGGTGATCAGATGAAGACTCAGTGTGAGGGGCACCTGGGTGGCTCAGTCAGTTAAGCGTCTGACTTCAGCCCAGGTTATGATCTCACGGTTTATGAGTTTGAGCCCCACGTCAGGCTCTGTGCTGACAGCTCAGAGCCTGGAGCCTGCTTTTGATTCTGTGTCTCCCTCTCTCTCTGCCTCTCCCTGCTCACGCTGTCTCTCTCTCTCAAAAATAAACAAAAACAAAAAACCCCCAGTGTGTGAACCCTCTATAACCTAGAAAGTGCTAGAAAGAAGATGGAATTCAGAGGTCTCCTCTGACGCTTTTTCTGAGCCCTGAAAGAATCCAAATGAACCAGAGACCCACAGTCCACGAACCTGGCACCTTGGTGCTGTGTGGAGCCTGGCTGCCTGGCTGAGGTCATGAGGCCACTTGGCTGAGGTTCTGAATACTTGCTGCTTCTAAACTTGTCTCGACCTGAGCCCAGCAGAGTTACTAAGGAAGCCTGCCGGCCCCGCCGCACTCTATGTTCAGGATTCACCACGCAAAGGGCTACCAGGGCTCCCCTTGAGGCCCAGGTAAGCCCTCCATCCCTCTCCGGAAAGGGGCAGAAAAGATGAAGAGCTTGCTGGGGTACATTTCAGCCTCCCTCCCTCCCTCCCGCTTAGGCTGCTTCCGGACCACTTCTGGCCTCCTGATTAGCCCCGACGTCTCTCCCCTATCTGTAAGCTCTGGGGCAACTTGGGGGAGCTGTCAGCATAGGAAGTACTCAGGGGTGTTGACTTCAGCGCGGTTAAAGCTTGAGTGTGTCAGCACCACCACGTTCCCACCCACAAGCCACACACCCTCTGCTCCCGGCCTCCTCGGGTCACCGCCACTGCCCAGGGAGCCTCTGGGCAGGCTCAAGGAGGGCAGTGAGGCGCCAGGCTGGCTCTGGGTAACAGGCTCCTCCCTCTGGGGGAGGCCAGGAAGGAGGAAATATGCTTCAGAGAAAAGACCCTCAGGCTAGGAACCCAAAGAGCCAAGGTTCTAGGATGCTCCTGCCCAGGTTTCCTCCAAGCTGCTAGATGATTGTCTGAATTCCTAACTGATGTGGGACAAAATGCTCCTGGCTCTCTCCCTCCCTCTCAGAAAAGGAAGGAAATTCTCCAGACAGATTGTCTTAAAAGCATGCCTAGGGTAGAGCGGTGGGAAAACCACAGGGCTGAAGGTCAAAGGAGGTAGATTCCAGTCCTGGCTCAGCCACGGACTCACTTTAGTGAGCCTGTTACCCAGGGCTCTTCTCCCTCCTGGACTTCTGTTTCCTCATCTGTAAAATGGGTACAGAGGGGAAATTGGCAAAGCTGGTCTCCAAAGTCCCTTCCAGATATAAGCTTCTAAATTTTGTGTGAGCGAGGCCCAGAAAAGAAGAGTGTTCAGCACGTCATGCTTTTTGTCCTGCCAGTTCAAGAATCCCTCACAAGACCAGCTCTCACTTAGGGGTCACTTACATAAGGGCGGGATCCAGCTCATGGGTGACCATAAAGCTTGACACCTTGGACTCCTGAAGGAGCATATTTCATAAAGGACATTCTGATCAGTGCTACTGCGATATTTACAACTACAATTATGGAAGGCAACTGTGAGGGGGACACTGGCCATTTGCCCCAACTGAGGGTTGCGTCTATTACAGTGGCTGTAACTCTCCGTGTCACCCCACGCGGGGTCCTACTATTAACAGAACAAAGCAGCAGGTAGTGGATGCAAGGCCCAGCTTTGTCCTCGGAGGAACAGAGATCCTATGAATGCTTCCAGTGTCTCAGAGTAGCGACCCTTGTAATTCTAAGTATCCCGGAGACTGCTGGAACTGGATCCATGATTATCCACGGGGGACCATGATTGAAGATCCTTGTAATGAAACCCTGTGGACCTGGGATCTCAGAGGGGAGGTGGACAGTGGTGGAAACAGATAGGATTGATTCTCCAGGCTATTATTTCATTTGAAAAAGGGGTTTCACTGCTCAAGGGTTTTCCCTTCCCTGGATCCATGGTGGCATGGTATTGTCAAGAGAGCACTGCACAGGGAGTCCAGGGAATGGGCTCTTGTCCAGACATCCCCATTCTCCTGCCAAGTGGCCCCAGGCACACTTGTCTAAGGCTTCGGTTGGGTCATCTGTGAAGGGGGACAGACGGGGCTCTTAGAACGCTCACTCACTCTTTTTATGCATGAATCCAATCTCTCTTTGGGGCATCGGGGAGCCCATCACTACCCTGGCTCACTACTGATACAGACGACATGCTTTTTCAGTATGGGTAGATGGTGTCCAGAGAGAGCACTGGTCCGACACTCTCTGGTGTCCCCCCCCCCCCGCCCCCGCACCGCTGCTGCCAGGCTGACTCCTTCCCAAAGCTGAACCCTTTGAGAAGAAAAAAAGCTGATGCCTGACTTCCTACCCTCACATGGAGACAGCTAAAGCAGCTGAGCAAATTCCAAAGACCCCAGCATCCCTGTGCTTCTGAAACAAGCATTCCAGGCACCTGAAATGGGCTCCTGCTGCAAGCCAGAGGCCCGGGACACCCAGGAGGGAACAGCAAGTTTCGCGGGCCTGGAGGGTGACCCTGCAGGTCGGCTGAGTGTTTCACCTGCTCCAGACCCTAGGGGACAATCAGGGGCTAACCCAAAAAAAGCTCCCGGCCAGAGTTTCGTCCTGCGTGTCCCGTGGCTCCCCTGCCAAGGATCAGGGAAAGACACCGCTGTAGGCAGGTCCTAACAGTCTTTCCCATTTGCGGACGCCTTACCACATACAATGTGTCTTCACACATGTGACCTCATTTGCATGGCAACAAGTCCTGGCTGGCAGGGACCATGATCCCCATTGTTTAACTGAAGAAGCAGAGACTCGGAGATTCTAAGGGACACGAGCAAGATGACAGAGCCAGGCCTGACCCCCAGGCTCCCAGCTCTGCTTCCAACGATGAGGGTCATGTGCCCCCGGTCCCAAGCTCCCTCTTCTCCCCAGTGCTCCCACACCGCTGCCCCTGCTGCCCACCATCCCACGGAAGAACACGGTGTGTTCTGAGGCCCGGAAAGCCACTGACGTGGCTCCTTTGCGCTGAGCTGAGCCGTACCTGCTCATCCCTCCTCCTGCGGCCCACGGTGGTGCCAATGGTCTTGATCACGCCGGGTCTCGGGAGCGCCATGTGCCCAGGGACGGAGGCCAGGCCTGGCAGGGGGCTGTAGGGGTGCGAGCGGGGGTATGGGTTGGACATGGAGGTGATCACTGTGGGCTGCACCATCCACTGCAGGTCCTGGCTGGTCGTGATGGCGTTGATGGTGGGGATGAAGGCACTGCCTGAGCCAGGCATATCTACCCGAAATTTCTGAAATGAGGAAAAAGAATAGTATTGAGCCAATAGGCACTGGATGGAACAGGACAAGCAGAGCCAGGAGGGAAAACAGAGTCAGTGTTTGGGGGGATGGGGTGGAGGGCACCAAGTTCGGACCACCGGGTAGGCTTCCCTGGTCTTCCAAGAATCCAAGAATCAGGGGGATCTTAACTACTCCTGAGGCCCCATGTCAGATCTGCTCCCCTGAGGTCCTGGCAACCCCCTCCCCAGGTGGCTCGTAAGGATGTGGTCATACACCAAATGACTTTGAGGACAGACATGGCCCCTGGCCACTCAACACTCAGCAGGCTAGCTATGTCCACACCTGCAGAAGGGCAGGCCTCCTACCTGGCCTCACAAGCCTCTGGGTCACCTGCCAATTAGTCCCCAGGGTACTGAGGCTTGGGACCCCCTGAGGACATTTGCACACCCACAGGTTTGGGGGGAGAGGCAACAAAGATCACCAGGAAGCTTATTGTGTCTACTTTTGTTACTTTCCAAATAGGTTCAGGATGGGGCTGTGACCCCATCAGGGTGAAACTAGCTCCATGAAAAGGTGTCCTCCCACCAATGAGACTGAAAAGTGGTAGCATCTGCGGCCAGAGCTTCCTTCTCGCCCTGGACCGTCATCTTGCTTGGAGCAGACACACTGTGTCTCTCTCTGCCTACCTACATATCCGTGTTCATGGGTGTGTCTGTGGGAAACTCTAGTGCTGCTAGCTCAGAGTTTTCTCCCTGTCTCTTAATTTATGCCCAGACCATGGTGCAGAACTCTCTGGAACATGCCGCAGGAAGCATCCTATTTAGAATATAAGATGATGACAGAGTACAAACACTAAAATGGGTCAAGCTCCTCTTTCTGCGGGGCAGCTAGTAGAAAATGAGGGGAGAAAGGAAGGACCTCCCTGCTCCCACACCCCCGCGGCTTCCAGCTTTTCAGGGGAAATAGCCCCTAATGGAGCCTTCATCCTCAAGGGATTCCCAACTCCACACAAAGGTTCTGCAGACCCTTTCTTCCCTAATCTGGTGGATGACGGGATGAGAGCAATAATAGCACTTGCTGAGCACTTACTAAATGACAGGCACCATGGTAGTGTTTGACCTAAATTATCTCCTTCATTCTCTCTCTGAGGTAAGAACTACCATTATCTCCACTTTAGAGACAGAAATTTAGGCTTAGAGAGATTAAGGAACTTATCCAAGGCCACAAGGCTCATAAGCAGGGGGGTGAGGATTCAAACGCAGTTCAGCCTAACAAAGAGGCCAGGGCTCTCAAACACGGCACTCCACAGGCTTCCATAATGTTGCTTCTTCTTCCTTTTGAAACCCAGACCCAAGTGCTGGGACCCACCCCTACTGCCCACAGAACGTCAGCTCGTTCCTATCGACCGCCCCTCTCACCGAGGAGACTCCACAGGTCCGATCCCAGATGAAATCCTGCTATCATTGGCTTGGGTGCTATAGATTCCCCTATTTTGGCCTGGTCAGACCAACCAGGAGTAGTGGCAGCTGCCACCACCGTTGCCTTTGTCACCGGTGATGATACCTGGGTTCCTGTTGTACAATCAAGTGGAGCTCAGAGCACCTTACCGTAACTGAGAGAGCTGGGGGCCCCTCCTTGCTCACTCCCCTGCCAGCTGCCTGACCCCACTCTGGGTGGTGGAACGTTTCTGCCTCCCTTCCCAGACTGCCCCGGGGCCCCGTGCCAAGGGCGTCTTGTGAAGAAAACATAACCCAGCACAGTGGATTCTGGGATTTGGCGAGGAGAGCCCCAGTGGGATGAATCCTGGGATTCTGTGAAGTTACCAAGTGGATTCTGGGATACTATGAGGAGAGCTGTCCAGGACAATGGATTCTGAGTCACCACGTAAGGCAAAGACAATTTGGCTTTTTATCAGGAGCTGAGCCTGGGTGCATGTGTGCGTGTGTGCCTGTGTGCGTGTGTGTGTGTGTGTGTGTGTGTGTGTGTGTGTGTGTGAAGGAAGGACACAGTGAACAAGGAAGACTCCAAGTAGGAAATAATCTTCAAGGAGAAAAAAATCGACAACTCAGCTGGGCCTTGGAGACGGCAGAGTATCGAGAACACGGGTGTGTGGCTGAGTGTGTACAGAGGCGTGAAAGGCCTAGACAGCGACGCTTCTCGTGGGCTGCTGGAGGGGAGCTGGGGGGGGAGGGAGGGGGAGGTGGTGGCGGGAAGCCGGCACTGCGCCCGGAGTCAGGGACCTGGATGGAGGCCTTCGTGAAATCACTGAGGATTTAGGCTCCAGTCTGTGAAGGAGAATCTCACTGCAGTGTCATGAAGATTAAATGAGTAGCTCCTTAGAATCGCTGGCTATAAAAGGCACACCAGTGTTCTCAACCGTCGCTGCACATTAGAATATTCTGAGCAGCTTTCTGAAAACACCAATGCTGGAGCCAGCCTCACCATGAAGAATTCTAAAATAACACGTTTGGGGTGGGGTTCTGATCAGGTATTTTTACAAAATGCCTGGGGAGACTCTAACGTGCAGCCAGAGGGTGGAGAACTGCTGCTCAGAACAAATGGAAGGCGGCAGCGTCAACACCGTCACCGCCACCATCGCGGCCATGCATCATCACTGCGTCTATGCACTCTGCTTGGGGCGGTTCCAGGAGAGATGGCCAGCTTCCCACTCCCGGGAAGCACCCAACATTTTTATCCTGTTTCTCTCTTCAGGTCAGGTTCTGGGTCTGAAAGACCCCTGAGGCTTCCGGCATGATGCTTTGAAGGGACCCTCCATCTCCTGTGAGGGAACTGTCTGATTTGCCTTCCAGAAAGCACCCAAGAAATTCACTCCTCATTCCAACAAACAAAGAGAGCTCCCATTTCAGCCCAGGGGAAGCAAGCAAAAACCCTGAAGCACAGCTTGGAGACTACGAGCCCTTGGGAATTAGGTGGACGACTCAGTTTCAGCCCCTCTGGGTGCTTTCCAGTCCCCTCGCTCCCGTTCTACAGAACGTGCTCCCCGGCCATCATCCAGACTCCTGGCAGCAATGGCTCGGTCTAGACAAAACAAGACAGCAATAAAAACAAGGCACTAGGTAATGACTGCCTCTAAATGCATGTACAACTTGTTTCAGAGGGAGGTAAAGCCATCTGGATAACACGCTGGCTCTAGGAAAACAATGTGCCGTCCCCACAGGGGACTGGGGCTGTGATGAAGGCTTTTGTCCCCTCAAGGAGCCTCTCTGAGACACACAAGCTTAAATGAGTTCTGGCCGGTGTGACTTGTCTCAGCTCCGAAGGTATTATTCAGAAAGTCACACTGGAGTAGGAGAGATGAGGTGAGGCGAGGAGTCTGTGGTCCCGGGAGTCAGCCTGGCATTCTTCTTTGCCAGCAGACCCGACAATCAGTTAAACATCATGCTGGGGATAAGTCATGGTGCTCTATGGAAGGCTTAGTACCGAACAGAAACCAAGATAGGGTTTCCCAGTGGTGAGCTTTGGAACACTATGAGCCTTGCTGCAGCACCAAGCGTGTGCTGGGAGGAGTAGCGGATACAACAGGGAACCCGGGGCGTCGCTTGAGTCCCGGGAGGCTCCCCAGCCCCCTTGGAAGCTCCTCCTCCGGGGACAGGATCAAAGATGCTGGATGGCCGTGTGGCATTCCAGCCTGGCAAAGCTTCCAGATGCTTTATTTGACTGTGTCATCCTGTTGACTTCTGGGTGGGCAAGAATGCCTTTAAAAGGACAAACTGGCCCCCGCCAACCTCCCAGAGCAGAGTTTGACAAACTTTTGCTGTAAAAGGCCGGATAGTAAATATTTTAGGCTTTGTGGGTCATGCGGTCTGTCGCAACTACTCAACTCCGCCATTAGAGCGTGGAAGCAGTCACAGACAATATGTAAACAAACAGATGTGCCTGTGTTCCACTAAACCTTCGTTACAGAAACACATGGGTCACGGTTTGGTGCCCCCAGTTCTAGAGGACCATTCTCTCTCCTAATGCTCTGGTCAGGGAAAAAGAATAAAGAGAGGAAACAAAGCAAAAAATTAGAACTCTTCCTTTAACCTGGGGAGTCTCACTCACCACCTTGAATCTCCAGACCCTGAAGCTCAAGTTTGAGCCCTTACAATATTTGTTGTGGGTCTCTGGGCATCGTAAAGACCCTTCTTTATCCGAAAGCACCTATATTTAAGGATGCCATGGGGTGGTTCAGTCCCGCTCCCATAGCCTGTAAGAAAGACAGCTCAGAACACAGCGCCCTAGAGCCACCAAGCTTCCTCACGTCAGAGAGGTCCCTGCAGCCTCGCGCTTTCTGATTTGGGAAAACGACCGTCCCGAATTTGACAGCTAGGCCTTGGATTCAGAAATGAGGGTCACGAGCACAGTCTTTTTTGTGCAAGGGTCTAGGAAGCAGGGCTTAGATTCCTATTTCCTGAAGACATGGATGGGGTCGATCTGACCTCAGAACTCCTGAGCGGGGCACAAATGGCATCTGAGATGGAAGTCAGGGGTGGTGTTGTCAGCCAGGCATTCCACTATCACACTGACTCTCAACTGGGCCCCCAACCACTCAAGCCATGAACCCCGTGAATACCTGTGACCTGTCTCAGAAGGCAGGCAGGTATGACCGTGCAGATCTAGAAAGAGACTGGGTTCTTTCTCTTAAAAACCACGACCCCCCCCCCTTTTTTTTTTTACATTCCCAGCAGGGGCAAAGAAAAATTCCAAAATCTCCAGAGACTGGCTCAGGGGAAGAGGACCGAATAAGGGCAAAGCTGCCTCATCCACCCCAGAGCACAACTGAGGTCCAGCTTGACTCAAATGCCCTATATTCATATTAAGCGTATCATTTTCTCCAAAGCCTTCTGTATGGAATTCGATCAGTCTTCACAGATTCTGCATTGGATATCGCCTTGACCTTTCCTATCTGAAGAAAGGTGCCATTTGTGTCACAACAGAAATGGTTGCTAATAACCCATGATTTCCCCAATTTTTTTAAAAAAAATCTATTTTTGAGAGAGAGAGAGAG